GGCTATACGATCGCGCCCAAGGACGACAAGTGGCAGGACACGGGGAAATACTATAGTGGCTATAGTAGCGGGTATGGCAGTCCCACATCGACGCCACAGGTGAGTCCGTGCTACTTTGGCGGCCATTTTCACGCTCACAACAACAATGTGTTGCACGATTCGTTGTAGCAAGTTCCTCTGAAGACGCCAAAATCCTCGCCGCACATCATGGAAGTGGTGTCATGTTCATCGGATGGACCCTCGCCCATAGATGGCAGCGCCTCTGCTGCCGCCACCGCCGCTGCTGCTGCGGCTGCTGCATCTGCGCACGCGGCCAGTGTGAGTGGCAATACGAGCGCGACAACTAACGGTAGCGGTGGCGGTGGTGGCGGCACGACAATTCCAAAAATCGAACCCTATGAGCGACAGACGGTGCTGATGTGGGGCTCGCAGTCCAGTGGCATACCGATCAACAGCATAAGCGGTGGCAGCGGTAGGCATCATCACAGCAACAGCGAGCGTTCGCCGCAGAGTACGCCAATCACAAATGGGCTCAGCTATGCCAATAACAACAACAACGAAAATGAGGTGGTGAGCGCAAAGTGGAATGGCTGCGCGAGCGCAAAAGAGGCCAAAAACGCGGTCACGCCCGACAACTATCAGCTGCAGCACGATGACTCGGGTCTATATTCTTCTTCCTCGCACACAACTTCGCCGCAGCAGCAGCAACAGCATCAACAGCAACAGGTGCCGCCTCCAACTCAACAACAACAACAACAACCTGCACAATCAACACAACACGCCAGCGGCAATTCGGTGGCTGACCAACAACTTTCTAATACCACTGCCTCACATTTGGTGGCGCACCCGCATACGCAACAACAGCACTTGCACGCCCACGCGCACAGTCACGGCCATAGCCATATGCAACACCCTGGCGGCGGCGGCGGCGGCAGCGGTGGTGGTGTTAACGCGCCGACTGCCGCTTCTGCCATCGTACCGCTGCACGCTGTGCACTCAGCGCCCTCAGACACAGGCTCAGCGCCAACACCTGCCTCAGCGGCTGCAGTGGCAGCGGCGGCGGCAGCAGCGGCAGCTGCCTCAGCAGCACAACAACACGCAGCACATTCACAGCACGCAGCGGCGGCGGCAGCTCACCATCATCACGCTCATCAACACGCCCATGCGCACGCTCATACGCATGCCGCTCATGCTGCTCATGCGGCGCACGCGCACTCCCACCCTCATCCCCATCATCCGCATCATCATCATCACGCGCATGCGCATGCGCACGCCCACGTTGCTCATGTTGCCGCAAATGGCAACGAGGTATGGAGTCCTGCGTACTCGCAATATTCGCATTCGTATTTCTCTTATCACCATCATCACCATCACCATGCCACCACCACCACCACCAACAACACAATCAGCACTGCAAATCCTGCTTCTTCTACTTCTTCCTCCAACACTGCACACATCTCACATGTTGTGGCGGCTGCTGCTGCTGCTGCGCAGCATGCGGGAGGCGCTCTGTGAGCTTAGAGTTACTAGAGAATATACATACACGTACTGAATAGATTTGGGCTGATTTATGTAAATGTAGTTTGGAGACGAGGCAAAGGTAGCAACATAAAATTGTCGTAGTTATGTGTAGGTGCTGTAAATACTGAGACGACTTTCCATTTCCAGGGAGTAGCATGTCATCCTCATCATTTTCCAAAGACCAAACAGCTTAGGAGAAATCGAGAATTGAGGTTTCCCGAGCTTTAAAAAAATATGCCTTGGCTGCCTTCGTTCCACGCTGAGGCAAAAGGTCGTAAATACCACATAGGACCTGGCTTTTTAGCAGCGCTCTTTGAGCTGAAATATGTTCAGGTACTCTTGCGTGACCTCTTCAAAGTTATTCTTTGCAGTACAGCGCGCTTTGTGTGCCTCATTTCTCGTTAATGGGGAGTTGCCGATGGAGTGGTCGTGTAAAAGTTCACTGATCCATCTTTGCCATTACTGCTCAAATTCCACTCGTCTCTTAACAGGATTTGAGTGAATAACCTGTTTCCTTGGCTAGATCTGAAGCTGGGTCGTTCCGGTTACGTAGACCTGACTGTCGTGCGAACGAGACCTTTACATAATGAACACCGACAACTAGGTTGCCTAATTGTCATCCAAGATATGACTGGACACCGATTAAAAACGGCCTGCAATAGAATTCCACAGCCCCTTAGAGCTCCTTCTTCCGCCGAAAGCCGTCTTGGAGGGCAAATTTGAGAGGTTTATCAACTACACACCGATGGAACGCTGAGTTGAAACAGCCATTTCCTATGCATCCGGAAATATGATCAAGCCATTTGCTTGACTTCGCAAGTGTCTTCTAGGCAGAAATATTGTATTTACTATCACTGCCATAAAGCGCAGCAATTTACGCGGCCATCAAGGCGAACGGGCTGCAATTTTCTCGCATAGCCGCATTGGCGTCCTTTACAGCAAAGTCGACGCTGGTTAAGGATCGTAGGACTCGTTTGAATAGAGTTAAAATTTAGTTAGTTTAAAGTGGATTTATTTTGGGTTCTTGTTCATCGCAATATCTTCTAAAATGAGGCTGCTGAAAAAATGTTGCGCAACATGTCTCTGAAAAAAATTTTTTTTTTCTTAAACTTAAAAAGAACTGCACAAAATTTGCCAATTTTATGTTGCGTTTGCTTTTCTTATGTTATTAATGTAATTAGTTACAGCACTCAATTCACTTTTATGCAGAAAAAAAAAATATAATATTTATTTGCAATATATACTTGTATGTGTCAAAATTGTGCTCACATTCCTGTATACAAACAAATATGATTTTGTAGTTAAATATACTAGTATAAGTATAGGTATATGTTGATATTGTTGTTGCTGTTGTTATCTACACAAAACTTAGTTAAAATTTTTGCTGTAAAAATGGGCAATTCGCACCATCACTACTTAGTAGTATAATTTTGAACACAATTAAATGAACTAAACAAAATTATGTAGACATTCAATGAAACTTAACGAACTCAGTTTTCTACTAACACTCCACAAATTTTTTACCTCCTCCAACGCAAAATCGAAACCAACAAATAAAACCGCAATCAACCGATCGCCAACAGATCCTACTTAGCCATCAACAACAGCAGCAACAACTGGAGCAGCAGCAGCAACAGCAGCTGGAACTGCAGCAAATCAGCTATGCCAATCAGATACAAACACTCCCCGGTTGCAACTCCAACGCCTCGTCTAGCTCATCGCCCACATGCCACTCGCCCAATGGAGGTGGAAGTAACGGAGTTGCTGCCGCCACCGCTGCCACTGAGCACATAGCGCTGTTAAATGGCAGCGATGCAGATATCGCAGGGGCAGTTGCCGTTAGTGCCGCCGCTACAGCTGCCTATCATCATCACCATCAGCTGACAATCATAGCGCCAATAGTTATCACTCCAGCGTCGATGATGAATGGCGATGGTGCGCTGCCAATGAGCACAACGCTGCAGCCAATACACGCCAGCGAAGCGATCACCACAACATCAGCATCGGCGCTCAATGGCATCGATGTGAGTAGCGGTGCGCTGAGGCACAATCTGACGCATCATCCATCCATAGCGCAGCATCCATCTGCACATCTATTGTCACATACAGCGCTAGCCTATGCGCCGAACGCTGCCGCTACAGCGACATACTTGATTAGTGGCAGCAGCAGCAGCGGCAGCGGCAGCGGCATCAGTGAGCCGATAATAGCAAATGGAAATCCACTTTGCTCCTTCTCGGAGGTCACTAATACGCTGCTGAATCAGTAAGTAATAGGCGGAAGGTGGTGCATAGAGAAGGCGTTGAAAATATTAGGTAATTGCCAACTGTCTACAAACATGTGTGAATATGCATATAACTACGTAGGTACATATGTACATACATATGTATATGTAGCTAAGGCTTGTCTGATTAAATGTTATAAATTTTAGATTTTTATTTTATTTAAATTTTCTGTATAGATAGGCTGTCTTAAAATTTCAAATTTAGTCTTGAGCTTTCAGTATCTTCTTATACTCGAAATAAATTTAACTAAAAATCATTACAAAAATTATTTGACAAATTTTACTATCATAAGCTTATCACAAGAATAGGCATCCATATATTGACCAGTTTTAACTTTTTATTTTAATTTTTTTTATTATTTTATTGTGATACTATTTTTTTTATTAGAACAGTTCATTCTATAACCAAAACCAGCTAAATCAAGGCTTTAAAATTTGTACAAATATTAAAAAAAAAATTCAAGCAAGTTTCATTTAAATTTCAAGCTTATTAATTAAAATTTTAAAACTGTGTTTTATATGGGTTTTGCTATAGAATTACCTATATTTTAATAAAGAAAATTAATAAAATTAAATATTTAAAAAAGAAAATGGTCAAAACTTGCCAAGATGTGGGTGTCATATTGTTATTATAAGTACTATATTTTAATTTATTTCGTTTGATTCGATTTAAATTTCGTTAAATATTTGTCGTAATTTTTTTATTGGAAATCAGATGCAAAAATTAGTAAATATTGGGTATGCTACAAGTAAATTCAAAAAGGATTTTTTTCTCGATTTTGAAACATTATTGCGCAAAATTGATACGATGTATTTTATTGAGAGTAATTCCCATCGCTGGCTATGACTGTTTTTAATTTTTCTACTCGTCTTTGGAGACCAAGAAATTGTCAAGCCAATTTTTGATACTTTCAACTGAATTGAAAGCTACTCCTGTTAGGACGTTCTGCATCGATCGACACAAATGGTAGTTTGCCGGTGCAATTTCTGGGATATAAGGCAATGGTGCGACATTCAGCCGAGCATTGTCATGGTGGAACATCAATGACACATGTCTGGTTGCCCATTCCGGTCGTATATTAAACAAATTCGATTGCCCTCTGTTGATAATCCTTTAAAGCTTACTTCTCTAGCCAATAACTGCTGATTTCAAGCCCTTCTACAAAAACGAATTTTTATTGAAAAATTTTGCACTAAATTATTTGTGATTTTAAAGCTGGCAACTAAAATTTCCGAGTTAATGAAAATTGCGCCCCTGTAAAAACTGTAAATATGTATATACATACTTATATTTTGTTGATTCAATATTTTTTCTTGCAAAATCAATTTTAGTCTTAAAGTTATAAATATATTGCTAAAAGTATGCATGCTTTTTCACTTCCATTCAGTCTGTAACCAAAAACAAAAAAGGTATATCAATGCAGTCAAAACGCATCTTAAATATGTCAAAATATTTAATATTTTTAAATAAATGAAAAAAATAATAATACCATTTTGCCAAAAGACATATGGACTACATAAATCTTCCATAATCTGAAGTAATGCAATCTAAGTACTTTTAAAATCATGAAGTCAAAAATACAAGAAAAAATTGTAAAATATCTCTTTTCCTATCAAAAGACTTAAGACACGAACTGGTTGCTTGCAAAGACTTAGGATACGAACTTCACCTCATGTTTTGCTATAATCTCTCGTCCCATTTCTGCGTTAACCTAAGCATATACGTGGGTTAAAAAAAAAAACTAATAAAGTATTTTAAAGCAACAATTTCACCACACGCTGATAAAGAACAAAATGACTTATGGTATCCTGAGGTGAAACATTTACAGCGCAGAGTTCGTTCAGTAAAGAAAATATAACTTTTTGTTTAATATATGCGCATAACACAGAAATAAAGGGTTATGTAGGATGGCTTATTTTTTCTACATATTCATTTATATTTAGTTCCATAAATCGTTAATTTCACCAAATTCGTCTGAGGTAGATGTATAAAAATGGCAAATTCAAGTATAAAATATTTTTATCAAAACTATAGAGAGAGGCAGGTAGGCTTTAAAGTATAATGCAGGAACGTTAAAGTGCCGTTACTCGCAAGAAATCGTCGTTCAACTGCCCCCGTCGAGTCTCTGGGGCTTCGCAGTTGCGGCAGAGTTTTAGTATTGGAAGGCATGCCAATACTTTCGGCATGCACACCCACGACTAATTGTCCTGTGCAGGCAACAGTGAGGTTGTAGATATTTTATTTGCTCATTCCTTACAGGTCCCTGGTTTTAAGTGGATCTCAATTATACCAGTTCTGTCCATCTGCCTAGCAATCCTATATGATCTTTTACCGCTTCACAATTGTTTTGATTTTGAGTGGTATTTGACTTGCCACTCATTTAATGCAGAGCTTCAACTTGCTAGTTCATCTACAGTCCTCTACGGTGGCGGGAAAATAAATAGGGACACGGAGTTTTAAAAAGTGTTTGCTATTTTTCATTGTTCACTTAAATTATATTTTTTTTTTAGGAAAGAATACAGAAACAGAAACTATGTATAAGTATGTAGGTCCGAACTTCAAACATGGTACAAAAATTCGCGAATAATGCATCAAAATTTTTATATTCTCATCAGATTTTTTAGAAAAAAAAATTGGTTCAAAACTTCAAAAATTAACTTCTCGAACAAACAAAAAAATGCATTTCTACAATTTGCGCCACTTTTTAAGGACTCTACAAACTTTGCTAAAAATATATATTTTTTTCTAATTGGGTTATTTCCTTCGGATAAAAAACAACAATAAAAAATTATTGTTTAAAAAATTATTATTAAATTAAAAAAAAAATAAATATTTTTTTTAATATCATTAAATTTCAATATATTCCCTTCGATTTTTATCTGCAAAATTTTTTTCTATGACTAGTAGTTTACAGATAAAAATTCTTAAAAAACAAGTAAGTTTACATAAGTTTATTAAAATTTGAATTTACACTATTTTCTAAAATAAATGTATTTTTGCAAAGTCCTTCGTTTTACTTCAAATGCACCACAAATACAACAAAATGGCCAAGTATTAAGAATATATGTATGAATATCATTAGTTCTCCCTGAAATGGAATGCCCCTATAAAAAAGTGCAAGTTTGAAAAAGCTATTGCCGTTGATTTTTGGCAATAGTTTTGCTGACGATGTCGCACATTTTCTTGCACACTAAGACGTTCCCAAATTTAATAGACTGCAAAAGTGGATACCTAGAACTGGTTCCAAAAATTCTGACTAAAAAGTTTAAATTTTGACTTACCTGGCATTTTTTATAGCTATACTTTTATCAAAAAAAGTATAATATACATTAAATAAGCGGAAGAAGAATGCTCAAAACTTTTTAAAATGTCGCATGCCTAACCGTACGTATATTCTCATGCCAAGGATTCCATATTAGGGTAATTTCAAATTCTTCAGAACTCGTGGGCAACACTTTTACAGTCCTGCACAATTTGCGAATTAACCGAGGAAGCAGTAGGTCCCTGAAGTTTCGGCAGGCTATCTAAAAGATATTCACCCGAATACTCGCGAGTGTGTGGTTTTTTGTATGTGTATACGCCTGAGTTTTCTGGTAGTTGAAAGGTGAGGTTTAGTTGAGTTGGTGAGCGAAAAATACATTCAGTTTCTGATCCATTTTTTGAGATAGCTTGCTCCCCCCAAGCGCTGAATCACCCAATTCAGTAGCTGCGGCTTTTGAATTTTGTACAGGGTATAGATCTGTGCCTTTTCCAATACCCTGAAGCCTATAGTCGGATTTCGCTGGTAGCAGCTGAACTCTGTGAAGTTTTTTTGTGAGGTAATCCAAAACAACTCCAAAATATTTCTGGCTATGTAAGAGATTGAGTTTTGTACCTTTGAATTTAGTTTTGATACAAATTGAGAATTTTGTCTTACATATTTTTTAAGACCATCTGGCCAGTTTTCTTCTCGGTCTTCTCGACATAAGCAACCACCTTGTTCACCTGGAAATACAGAATTGACTAGTAGTTTATTCAAGATCTCAGGACAAAAGTTGTGGTAAAATTACTCCTTCTTACCGGGTGCCTCTACCTGCATATGGAGCTGCCTTAGTAGTCCCGAGATCTACGACTTTGAAGCCAGAGCAGTGTGTACTTAGGGCGCTGTTCAACGAATCCGCTGTAATTTTAAATCGTATTTGCTTCGAAAGTCAGAGTCCGCGAACATCTCGAAAACATCTGAGTTCCGGAAATCGAATTTTGAAGCGCATTCTTTATTTTTATGTAATGTTTCCCTCAGCATTTCGGCCATAATTGATTGATGTTTGTTTTTTTTTTTTGTACAAAACGTAGCCACACATAAAATTTCAGGGTGACCAACGATATGAACTTGCGTCTATTAAATCTCTCTTATAATAGCCTAACTTAATCATCGCTGCGACCGAGTTTAAGGAAAAAATCATAACCCAATAACTCCATATGGTGTAATAATGCAGCGCTAATAAACTTGAAATAGTTTTTGAATTAAGTTTTTTCATCTCCTGTGATAGGCATGTTAAGGTATTCAAAACAAAAAAATATACACAGATTAGATTTAAAAGTAAACAAAAAAATAAAATAAAAATAAATGAATAAAATACAGCAAATTACGCAATACTAAGAGTAGTGTTATTAATAAATTTCTATATACGTATATAACCATTAGGATGGCCGTTAAAAACATCAAAATCTAAATTTTATTTGGGACAACAATTTATTTTGTGCTACGTAAAAAATAAAGAAATCCATGGAAGTCTTAAAACGTTAAACAAATTTTTAGGAGTCGCTACCAGGCTTTTGAAAAATGATATTTTTTAATCGCAAAAATTCTACACAATTTTCAGTTAAAATATCATAAATTTAGCATATTATTGAAACTTATTCATATAAGTTCTTAAACTCACTGACTTATAAGCTAGACAAAGTCAAAATTTTTTCAAATATTTGCAATTAAAAAAAAAAAATTCAAACCCTTAGCGACCTTCAAACATTTTTTTTAATTTTGAAATTTTCGTTG